CACTTAGAAGGGGAATTGCTGAGTCATATGGTAATTAAACCTTTAACTTTATAAGAAACTGTCAAACTGTTTTCCAAAGTAGTTGTACCATTTTACTTTCTGATCCTCAATGTTCCAGTTTCTCTCCATCCTCACCAACATTTGGTATTGACAGTCTTTTAAGTTTTAGACATCCTAATTTTAATTTGCATATCCCTGGTGACTGATGATGTTGAACATCTTTTCAGGGGCTTATTTGCCATTCATATATTTTCTTTGGTAATGTGTCTCTTAAAACATTTGGTCTATTTTGTTTTATTGGGCTGTTTATCTTCTTATTATAGACTTGTAAAAGTTCTTTTTACATTCTGAATACAAATTTTTATTTTATTTATTTTATTTTTTAAAATATATTTTATTGATTTTTTTTACAAAGAGGAAGGGAGACGAATAGAGAGTTAGAAACATCAATGAGAGAGAAACGTTGATCAGCTGCCTCCTGCATACCCCCCTACTGGGGATGTGCCCGCAACCAAGGTACATGCCCTTGGCCGGAATCGAACCCGGGACCCCTCAGTCCACAGGCCGACGCTCTGTCCACTGAGCCAAACCGGTCAGGGCTGATGACAAATTTTTAATTAGATGCTACATGCTTTATAAATACTTTCTTCTAGTCTGGGTTTGTCTTTTCAGTGTCTTTTGATGAGAGTGGTTGCTAACGTCTCAGTGGCCTCACCACCTGTATTTGGCTTCTGAGCTTTTCCATTTCCTGTGTAACCAATTCCCTTTATTTTGCTTGTAAAACCCAGGGTGATGTCTGTTTTTCCAACCAAACCCTGACTAGTACAAGTAGGGTGCTCATCATCCTTGGTCTAATCTCAGTGACTTGTGGAATGGGGTTGCATGGCATAAAGTAAGACAGCAGTAGCCACAGGGGCTATACAAGGGTAAATTCCTTTCGAAGGAGTAATAAGCACTGTAGGCCTCCTCCCTGGTTACACAGAAAGGAAATGTACATAAAGGTAACACCTCTAGGTGGTAGAATTTTGGATAATTTTTATATTATTTTTTTCTTCTTTTATGTTAATCCAGGTTACCTACATTTTCTACAATGGACATGGGTTGTTTTGGCATGCAGAATAAATTGCTAGTATGCCATATTTAGTAAGCCAGTGAAAGAGAATGGTGAACATGTTGTGCACAATAGGGTATATAGGGAAGTGGCCAACTCCATAAAAGTACTTTGGCCTCCAATTTTTTTCAGCTTTATTGTGGTATAATTGACAAATAAAATTATAATATATTTAAAGTGTATACCATGATGATTTGATGATATATGTTCACAAATATATCAAATTCCCATAATCAAGTTAATACACACATCACCTCCCATAGTTACCTTTTATTTTTTTGATGCAAACACTTGAGTTCTACTTTCTTAGCAAATTTTAATTATGCAATGCAGTATTATCAACTATAGTAAACATGTTATGAGATCCTCAGATCTTATTTACTTTATAACTGAAAATATATGCCCTTTTATCAATCTTTCCTCATGTGTCCCAACTCCCAGCCCCTGACAACTACCATTCCATTCTCTGTTTCTAGGAGTTCGACTTAAAAAATTTTTTTTTTAAGATTCCACATGTATAAGTGATACCATGCAGTATTTGTCTTTGTCCGGCTCCTCAAATCTTTTAAATTGAAAAAATAAGAGTCATTCAGTGTACTATAAGAAGATATGACAGTAATGAGAGATTTCTCTTGTGAGATTTATATAAAGTGATTATACTTTTTTGTGCTTGATATAGTTCATATTTATCATTCAATGACTTTAAAAAGCTCATGCTGTAAGTATAAAAAGGGGAATGGTTCAATTGTTGAGGTCTTCATATAATCACTCAGTATTGCATTAAAATTTTTATTGATTTAAGAGAGGGAGGAAAGGAGAGAGAGAGAGAGAGAGAGAGAGAGAGAGAGAGAGAGAGGGAGACATCGATCAGTTGCCTCCTTTATGCACCCAGACCTGGAATCAAACCTCTAACCTAGGCATTCCCATGACCAGGAATCAAACCCATGATCTTCTGGTGCCTGGTTTGACCTAACAGCCTACTGAGCCTCAGCAGCCTGGGCTCCGTATTGCATATCTAATGTTATCTTTCATGAACACAGAAGAAAGTACCAAGTCAGAGTTAGACTTGTTTGTCTTTACCTCCCACACTGAGAAAATAATTTATGTTAAGCATTTCTGGGCGCGCTCCCTCCGGGGAGCATGTCCACACCCACGCCTTTCTTCCCCTTCTTTCTCAGGTGTGCTTTTTCTCCTAAGTTCTAAGGGTCCCCACAAGACTTGCAACCAGGGGAGCCCTGGACAGCAGCAGCTCATCTCGGGTTAACCCTCTGACCCTGTCTCCAAGGCCCCTTTTCTCTGACTTCCCTGTGACTTAAAGCAGCCCCGCCTACTCCCATTTCTTCCCTACAACATTTCTAGAGGACCAAAGCAGCCCTGCCTAGACTCTCCTGTTGCTTCTTCTACCCTAAGCCCTTCCTTGTTTCACAGTCCCAGCTTTAATCAGCGTACTTTTAAAATAAAAAATAAAAATAAAAAGGAAGATGCCTCTCTGCTGTGGAGGAGAGGCTGTTCTATGATGTGGCCTCTGTGGGACACTTGAACTAGATCTGGCCAGAATAGGGATTGCTTCCTGCAGTACATCTCCTCAGAGATTGTCTATACTCCACCGTGTGCTGCTTCCTGGAGCAGGCCATTGCCCTTCCCCGCTGCCCTGGGCAAGCATGATGAGGCATTTTCACTCATCCCAGATGAGTCACACTCCAGGCCCTTGTCCATCTTGCCCTGTTCTATGTAATTTTTTAGCATCTGCCAAATTCTTTAGCAAAGGCACAAGCATAGAGGAGACCCATGTTGTCTTGCTGCCACTTAAGATGTGCCTCATATGTAAGTTCCCTTAATAAACTCTTGATGTAATACTGGAGTTTTCAGCCTCCTCCTTCATTCAGTCTCTTGGCCCCCAGGAAATTTTCTAACATCAATCTGCTCCTGTAGGATTTTCTGTGGACAATATTGGAGAACATGATATGGACTATGCAATACTTGGCTCTACAGAGGCTATGCCTTTTCTTTTTGCATGTGTGGTTCTTTTTAAAATCCTCCTCTGAGGATATTTTTGCCATTAGGGGGAGAAGGGAGAGAAGGGAGAGAGAGAGAGAGAGAGAGAGAGAGAGAGAGAGAGAGAGAGAGAGAGAAACTTCAACATGAGAGAGCCATATCAATTGGTTGCCTCTGGGGGGATCAAATGTGCGACCAAGGTACGTGCTCTTGACTGGGAATCAAACCTGCAACCCTTCAGTTCACAGGCCAATGCTCTTCCCACTTAGCCAAACCAACCAGAGTGAGGCTGTGCTGTTTTGAAAGGTGCTGAGATGGATCTTGGCAGATATCTCTCCGTTAATTACTCTATTATCGCTGTGTTCTCCCAACTTTCATATATATATATATATTTCCACTGATTTCAGAGAGGAATGGAGAGGTAGAGAGAGATAGAAACATCTAGGATGAGAGAATCATTGATCAGCTGCCTCCCGAAGGCCTCCTACTGGGGATGGAGCTTACAACTTGCAGATGTGCCCTTGATGGGAATTGAACCTGGAGTCCTTCAGTCCGTAGGCCGACACTCTATCCACTGAGCCAAACCAGCTAGGGCTTAGTATGTATGTGTAAATCTTCCCATGAAAAAAGCCACTAGACCTAGATAATGTCAACAGATGAAATCCTATAAAACACTCCAGGAAAAGGTAATTCCAACCTTAGGTAAAATTTTCCCCAAATAACACTGAATGAGGACCATTACCCTACTTACTCTTTGGGGAAATGACAGCCTTTTAAATAAAAAAATGACAAGGACAGGTCAAGAGATAATTATACCACAATCTTACTCATGAACATAGATATGAAATATGTGAACAAAATAAGCAAATTCAATTCACAATGATTATCGATAACTCGGTGTATATTTTTCAAAAATTTAAAATTGGCTTAAGATTTTAAAAATTATGTAGATGCAAAACAATTCCAATAAAAATCATAAGAGGTTTTATTTTTGGGACAAGAGAAACTGATCCTCATATTGTTATGGAAGGCTAGAAGCCCAAGCAAAGTCAAAGCACCTCTAAAGAATCAATTGAATGAATGTCATAAAATGGCAGGGTACATTAAGAATAAAGCTGTAGTAGTTATGTGAATGTGGTATAATTAATTACTGGACAACTAAGAATTAGACTCATTCATAGATACAAACGATTTAGTCAGCATTATAGATTATTGGGGACGATGGGCTTTTCAATGAACAGTGCTGTGATAACTGATTATCCAGAGCAGAAAGAAAAAGGAATTAACTTCTAACTCCCACTGTATTAAAAAAAAATTAGTTACACCATAAAGACAAAATTTTAAATCACTTATGTCAATGATAATATAATTTCATTATATAATGATTTTTATGACAAATGGAGAAGGCAAACTTTCCAGGGGAAAGAAAATGTTATATGAGTAGATATTTGATTTCTGAGGAAGTTGGTTTCAAGGTAAAGATCATCCTATTAGCCTAACAGGGGTGGGCAAACTTTTTAACTCGAGGGCCACAATGGGTTCTTAAACTGGACTGGAGGGCCGGAACAAAAGCATGGATGGAGTGTTTGTGTGAACTAATATAAATTCAAAGTAAACATCATTACATAAAAGGGTACGGTCTTTTTTTTTTTAGTTTTTTTCATTTCAAACGGGCCGGATCTGGCCCGCGGGCCGTAGTTTGCCCACGGCTGGTAGTATTAGGGAACTGGAAGTAAGAACATTGCCTCATGCAGGTGAGATATTTAGGTAGGGAACTCAAGAGGAGAAAATAGAACCATAGCAACTCAGACCCATGGAAACAGTAAAAATCAGGTGGAAAATATTAACTATGGTGGTGGTGGCCTCAAGTATTTAAAGGGTGAATGATTTAGGTTCAAATAGTGATACTGTTCTCTATGAGGCTGGGCTTCAGGTATTCATAGGGAAGGTCTAGCTGCTCATTCCGGGCCACGATTTCCTTTTCCAGGTTGTCCAGATCAGCCTGAAACTGCCTTAAAACAGCCTTGGGCTCAGGACCTGAGAAATACTCTTCTTGGTGATGCCCCAGTGGTACCTGGAGCAGAAAGAAAGGATCAATCATCTTCTAGTTCTAAGAAAAAGGGACCCAAACTCCAGTCCTTCACCCTAATGTCTCCTTGTCAGCCCAGTCCCCTCAGAGTTCCAGAGGTCCCCTCTCACCATGTCTCGCTGGGGCCGGCCAAGGAGCCATGTGACGGACATTTGAAGACAGCTTTGCCAGACATTAGGCAGTGAGCCCATCACTGTGTCCATTGTGACATCTTCCTTGGTGGTGGGTGGGGGCATCCGCATTGAGCATGGGGCATTAGGGACCCAAGCAAACCAGTCGAACTGGGGGAGGAAGAATCTGGAGTCACTCAGAAACTCTGATTCAGGACCCTAGACCCCAGCTCTCTCCAACAAGTGTCCCCTAGCCCAGAAGCTTTCTTTCAGAGACCAGGCTTTCAGCTGTCCATACCTGGCCCGTGTTGACTGCTGCATGCTGGGCAGAGCATGTGAAGATGCACATGGTAAGGAAATGACAGAGCTGAGCCCGAGACTGGAAGGAGACAGGGAAACCTAGAGAAAAGAACAAAGCTTAGAAAGTGCAGTTTCAAAGGAGATAAGGAAATAAATGCTAATATCTTGACATATCCACAAATTAGAACTTGTTAATGTTCATTCATTCAAAAAGTAATGAACTAGTATGTACCAGACACTATGTAGGCATTGGGAATCTGTATGGGCAAAAGAGAATCTGTGTAGTGAAGAATGGTAATAAACAGCATAACTAAGTAAAATTACACAGAGTTTGTTAGATAGTGATAAGTAAATACGTAAGGCAGGAAAAGGAGATATGAGATGTAAAAGGTGGGGTAGTTAATAATTTAGTCAAGGAACCTGTCCTTGCTTTGCTGCTGACTAACTGCATTACCTTGGACTGACTGCTTTGCTTCTCTGGGCTGCTATTTAGTTTACTCTGAGAGTAGAGATAATGATAGTTACCTTATAAAGGATATGGTCCATGAAGATGGTCCATATAAACCCCTCAGTCCATTGTAGGTATGTTTATAAGGTGGGGAGTGGGCAGGGCTGAGAGACTGGTTGGTCAAATATCCAGTGTTCAAAAAGGGGTTAAAAGCAATAGGAGAGAGGTAGACAACCCAAAATAAAATGGTACAAAAGAGGAACAGGCTCCGCACAAAGGAGGATATCCCTGTGGCTACTAAACCTAGGACAAGTTCCTCGGTTCTACTAGTTTCTGGGAGAACACAACTTAAACTCAAATGTGAAAATACAACATATTCACAATGTGACCAAAATATTTTTTCAAATATTTGAGAAGATACTGACTATACGTCATACTCTGTGGAGGGCGAGTAAATGTTTACAAGCACATTGGAAAACTGTCAGAAACCACTAAAACTGAACATACACATATCCTATGACCATCAATTTCACTTCTGGATACACACCCAACAGAATTGTACACACAACAATGTTCGTAGCAGCAATAACATTAATAGCCTCAAAATGGAAACAACCCACATGCCCATCAATGGCAGAAAGGAAAAAATAAAGTCCATGATATTCACAAAATAGAATAATATACAATGAGAACAATGAACTACATGCTCCATTCACAGAAGCATGGGTAAATTTCAAACATATTTTGAGACATTAGTGAGTGCATGTTTGTATTTTCATTTGTGCAAAGTTCAAACAGGTAAAAGTAACCTACACAGTATGAAGTGGTTAATTTTTAATGGGCAAGGACTGGAATAGCATACAAGGGGCTTTCTGGGCAACGGGTAATGTTTTTTGTTCTTTGTGCTAATTATACAGGTATGTCACCTTACTAAAAGTTCAAGTTGTAGGCCAATGATTTATAATGTTAACTTTTCTCCATATTTGTTTTATTTTAATAAAATTCCTACTCTTCCCAAAAGTCAAAAGGTTGTGCTAGCTGGTTTGTTTCAGTGGACAGAGCATGGGTCCATGGACCAAATAGTCCTGGGTTCAATCCGTTCAAGGGCATGTACCTATGTTGCAGGCTTGATCCCTGCCCAGGTCAGGGTACTTGTGGGAGTCAACCAATTGGTGTGTCTCTCTCACAGGGATATTTCTCTTTCTGACTCTCTCCCCCTCCCTTCCCCTTTCTCTAAAAGTCCATGGAAACATATCCTCCAGTGAGGATTAGCAACAAAAACAAAAGAATACCAAAGTTTCTCTCCCTTTCCCATAAAGTAGTTTCAGGTATCTGGGCTATAATGCAGAAAAAAAGAGAAGTCATAGACTCATGTTGGAGCTGGAACACCATCAAATCCACTGTCCAATTCCACTCAATTTACAGTTGAGATGCTGCTCAGGGAGTTTAAGGACCTGCTCACCTATTACACTTGCTGACCAGATTGGGGGAGGTAAGTTTTTCGAGTGGGGCATAGGATCACAATCATTTTACATTGATTGCTTTACACATGTGTCTACTTTTTACATTCAGTATTTCATTTGGGACAAGAGTTATATTCACTTCAGAGAAAGGATATTAAAAGTCAAAGAGATTAAATGGCTTTCTCAACAAATAGTTCTGGGAAGAGAAAATCTTAACACACTGCCTTTAATGAGGGTGATGAGAGAATGATGGTACAAAGAGAACCATGAAGATGAAGGAGAACAATGTGAGTACAAGTGGTTAATCCCAAAGACAAATATGTTTTACAAGTGCTCTGATGTGTATATTTCATGGGGCTAAGCATGAAAGATAATGAGAGGGACTTTTGGAGCACGTGGAGCCTGATGGCCAGAACTGGGACATACTACAGAGATTTTGGTCTTGAAGGGCTGTTGAGGTGCCGTTGGTGAATGGGAAAGGTACAGCCCTAGATACTTTGAGGTAAGGCTCCACTCTATGGTAGGCGTGTGGTTTACTGATGTTTGCATCCTCAGGGCGCAGTTATAGGTAATAGCTCTAAGCTATTGGCTAAAGTTATTGCATGGAGGGGGTAGATGGGATTCAAGGTATTGGTGTGAAGTGTGAAGGGGCAAGGAGCTAAAGGATGATTCAAAACAGTCCCAGCTGCTTATGTGTACTAGAGAGAAGAATATTAATCTGGGTAGAGCTCAAGAAAGGCTATATCTTCATTATGGATAAAAAATGGGGTAGGGGACCTGAAGGTAGTTCACCAGTGAGGAGGTCACTTTTGCCTAAGGAACATGAGTCCCAAGGATCATGACACTGAGTTAGGGTTTAAGTCAAAACATATACAGTATTGAGACTACATCTAGAAATGACCTGGCACTATGGCAGGTGTGTGTGATGTCTGGATCCTCTCTGTATGCTGGTCAATAGAAGGAAGGAGAAAAAGGGAGGGAAAGCTAGGATGGGCTGTCATGGTCTTTGGAGGGAATAATCTTCCCATTTCTATCTTTAAGTAAGAAAATAGACAATGATTAGGAGAGATCCTGGCAGGGCCTGGGCAGATTTCTTACTGGCTGTGGTTCTGGCCTTATAATTCCCATTGGCAGGTGAGGGGCATCTATGTAAAAGCATGAGGGTCTCTGAGGAGGACAATCCTTGGGTTTGTAGAATTTTCCTGAATCTTAGGAGATGGGAATGGGATTCAGATGTTTCATGTGTGGAGGGTTGGGCATGATGAGGGGTTGGGGTCATGTCACAAGATGGGCAAGACTGAGAAGGGGTTCTCAACAGAGTGTCTAAGGAGTTCTCTTCTCTGGGGAGGGATCTCACCTGGCACAGCCCCACCTCAGTGATCTCCCGACACCAGGCCTGCAGCTCAGGGTCCCCTCTCACGACATCATCCCCGTCGTAGAAGAGGTGGATGATCCCTTCCACGTACCTGCCCAGAGGAGAAGGGAGCTGAGCTCCTTGAGAGTACAAGGCTGTAGCCTCTGACCTCTACTCCTTTTCTGTGGTCTCTATGCATCTGACTCTCACTGTATCTGGGGACAGATCTTACAAGACTTGCCCTTTGGGACATCCCCTAGTTCTTTCTACACACTAGTGTAGAAAGGAAGAACATGTGGATCATTAGTTTTAAGAATTCCATGCACATGGTTGATAGTCACTCTTTGTAACAAAATCCCCAATTGCACCAGATCTTTTGGTTTTACGCACCCACACAATTCTGCCTGCTTACTCTCTTTCAGTCTCCCCATTTTCAGACCCCACCCACTTTCTCCTCATTCTTCCTCATCATTCTCAGGATTGAGTCCTCTGCTTCTCCTGTCTGGACCTTATTGTTTCATGTTCCTTTTGTCCCATGCTGACCTCAGGCAAAAGCTCCATTTTCACTGTCCCCAATGCCCCTTTTATTGGGCACCTCCCACTCTCACCCACCGAGCAATGATCTCCCAGAGTCGTAAAGCATCATGGGCATAGAAGGCACTTGGGATTCCCAACAGGCCCCGGTCAGCCAGATCTTCAGGAGGACAGAGGGAGCGGTAGGTCAGCTGAATCACACCCCGACGAATCAACTGCACATGGCCTCCTCCACCTGTGCTCACTACCTGTGCCAATAGATATGAGAGGTCTTATGGGGAGAAACAGAGCTGGAGAACATGGCATCGTATATAAATCTGTCTTTCAGATTCAAAGACATTGGAATAAAGGGACAAGGCTCCTGGGCTTAAGGGTCAGGACCTTCACACAGGGGGCCCTGGAATCTTGAAAGTGACAGGAGGTCATGCAGAACTGGATGATTAGGTGTCACCACACTCCACCTCCTTACCTTATCAAACACACCTCCATCTGAGATGAGTTGGTTCCGTGCTCTGGTGTTGATGTCCATGGTGTAGCATGTGTGTGGTATCAGGAGCTGGATGGAGAAGGTTGGAGGGGGTGGTTTATGGAGGGAATACTTGGGTTCTTCTTATTTAAAGAGTTGCACTCAGAATGGTGACTTTCTTTCATCTTGACACTTTCCTACCTGCTAGTGCTCTTGCAGGATGGTCTGCTTTTGCCTTTGTGTTCTCTTAGTCTCATATTCTCCTATTGCCCTGTGAGTTGAGCTTTGGAGTCAGACTGACAGGGATTTTTTTTTAATTTATTTTTTACTTAAATTTTTATTGTTCAGATTATTACAGTTGTTCCTCTTTTTCCCCCCATAGCTCCCCTCCACCTGTTTCCCACCCTCCCCCCCGTCCTCACCCCCCCACTGTCCTCATCCATAGGTTCATGATTTTTGTTCAGTCTCTTCCTGTATCCCCCAGACCCCTTTCCCCCCCCCCAAGAATAATCAGTCCACTCCCTTTCTATGCCTCTGATTCTATTATAATCACCAGTTTATTCTGTTCATCAGATTATTTATTCACTTGATTTTTAGATTGACTTGTTGATAGATGTGTATTTGTTGTTCATAGTTTGTATCTTTACCATTTTCTTCTTCCTCTTCTTAAAGGATACCTTTCAGCACTTCATATAATAGTGGTTTGGTGGTGATGAACTCCTTTAGCTTTTTCTTATCTGTGAAGCTCTTTATCTGACCTTCAATTCTGAATGATAGCTTTGCTGGATAAAGTAATCTTGGTTGTAGGTTCTTGCTGTTCATCACTTTGAATATTTCTTGCCACTCCCTTCTGGCCTGCAAAGTTTCTGTTGAGAAATCAGCTGACAGTCGTATGGGTACTCCCTTGTAGGTAACTGACTTTCTTTCTCTTGCTGCTTTTAGGATTCTCTCTTTGTCTTTTGCTCTTGGCATTTTAATTATGATGTGTCTTGGTGTGGTCCTCTTTGGATTCCTTTTGTTTGGGGTTCTCTGTGCTTCCTGGACCTGTAAGTCTATTTCTTTCACCAGGAAGGGGAAACTCTCTGTCATTATTTCTTCCAATAGGTTTTCAATATCTTGCTCTGTCTCTTCGTCTGGCACCCCTATAATTTGGATGTTGGTATGCTTGAAGCTGTCCCAGAGGCTCCTTACACTATCTTCTTATTTTTGGATTCTTTTTTAATTTTGTTTTCCGGTTGGGTGTTTTTTGCTTCTTCGTATTTCAAATCTTTGACTTGATTCTTGCGATGCTCTAGTCTGCTGTTGGGAGTCTGTATAATATTCTTTATTTCAGTCAGTGTATGATTAATTTCTAGTTGGTCCTTTATCACAACCTTGAGGGTCTCGTTAGATTTCTTGTGCGTCTCATTAAGTTTATTGGCGGTTTCTAGAAAATTCTTGAAAAACCTTAAAAATGTGGTTTTGAACTCTATATCCAGTAGTTTGCTTTCCTCCATTTCTGTCATTTGTGTCCTGTTTCTTTGTCTCCACATTTTTTTATTCTTCGCTGTGTCGATAGAGTGGCTTTCTGTACTGGGTGTCCTATAGGGCCCAGTGGCTCAGCCTCCTCAATTACCTGAGTTAGACACTCTTGGTGAACCCCCTTGTGGGCTTTGTGCACATTCTTGTTGTAGTTAAGCCTTGATTGTTGTAGATAACACTGGGAGGGATTGACCCCCAGGCCAAAGGGCTGTGAGAATCAGCTGTGTCTGCAGTGGGAGAACTTCTGTGCTGGAGACACCCCTCCGGGGCAAGACTTGCTTCAATGGGGCTTTGGTGCTCAATGAGTCTGCCCCCTGAGTGTGTCCTTTATGAATCTGAGGAGCTGCATTCTGGATGGTCCCACTCTCACCACCAGGCACACTGGCTCTTGGATCTCTAAGGAGTTGCTAATCTAGCCTCTGCCTGAGGCTATCCAGCAGGAGCCAGCTGTGACACAATGCAAGTTGCCCTGGGGCCTTGGGCCAGCTGCAGTTGTAGGTAATTATCAGATTGCAAAGGGCCAGGCCTTCATATGCAAAGCCTTCGTGGCTCCACCCAGGGATCAACAGGTGGAGGCGAGCAGTTATGGGTTGCTCTCAGTGCTGCCCTCAAAAGGCCCTGTTTCTCAGTGGTCCCCAGCAATCACTGCAAGCACCCCCCCAAGAGAAAAGCTGCCCTCGAGTTTCCGACCGAATGCCAGACAGCCCAGTTTTCTCCAGTATGAGTCTGGGGTCCCCAGAGACTAGCCCCAGTACTGGAGCTCCGGAGCTTGAGAACTCCCCTCCCGATTGAAAAAAGACAATTGGTGTCCTCAGCCGCCCAACCCTCTCCGCATGCGCCTTGGAACCTCTGTATTTTACTTCTGCACCACATCTCCTTCTGAGTCTCGGAATGCTTTTTCTCTTTCCCTTCTAGTTGTAGAATTTCCCACTCAGCCAGCCTTTCCTGTGGTTTCTGGGATGATGTCCGGTTCCATCTTTTTAGTTTGTATTTTGAAGTGGTTGTGCGAGGCAGCAATCTCCGGTGTTTACCTATGCCGCCATCTTGGTTTCTGGGGGATTTTAATATACACTTCACCACTTACTTTGATATTTGACCAAGATAATAAACCTCTAGGCGTCCATCTCTTTATCTCTTTACAGAGGATGACAATAGGGTCTCATCACAGGTGCTATGGTGATGCTTATGTGTATAATATGAGTGTTCAGTACATTACCTAGCACACAGACATCCTTGAACAGTAGCTGTTATCATTGCCTTTATTATTTCCACCTTGAGTATAGATGTCCTTTGGGAATCAGCCCTTTAACTTTGGATTTTTAAAAATAATTTTTTTTTATCATTCATACCCTTACAGTTTAAACTGGCCTTTCTACTAATTTTCAAATCTGTTCCTTCAATCTCTAGTTGTTTTACTCTTGCATTTTTTAAATTTTGGGGTTAGGGATAGGGTGTGTAAGGTACTTTCAGAATTAAATAACCATATTGATCTATATTCTTTATCAGCCAGGGGGCTGTTGTCAAACCTCTTCCCACCACCAATTAGGCATTTTTAGTTTATCCTGCTTTCCCTTGGTCATTATAAAAAACCATTTGATCCTCATATGCATTTCCTTTTGTCTCAAACAATTTTGTTTACATCCTGAGATGGAGGATTCATGCAATATTGTTATTTTTGTAAGTTGGTGATGCTGCAGAGAGGGAAGGACCCAACTGATATCATTGGGACCAACATATCAAGGCAACTCACACTGTTCTGAAACTTCAGAAAGATTCAAAAATATGCTGAGTGTCATAGAAAACCCAAAGTCTACATGAGGACAGAAGATACCAGAATACAAAGAAGTAATCAAAATAGCAAGAACTACTATTTTCGCAGCATTTATCCCCTTGTTCTGTTATCCCACATGAACTTCATGATGGAGCTCTTATTATCCCCATGCAGAAATGAGAACACTGAGCTCACATCTGGGAAGAACTGAGGCTAGAATTTAAGATTCTTACACCAGCAGTCTGAATGCAGAGCCTGTGCAGGTAACCTTTGTGAAGTGGGAAGGCTTAGCCCTGCTGAGTGACTTGGTAACAACTCAGCTGTTTACCATGGGATGCAGTTGTTATGGCGAGGGAGACAGGTGTAGAGGGGGCTGTGAAAGGGGGATTTTGAAGTGTAAAAAATGGTTCAACCACTAAGATACACAGAAGATGGTGATGCAAAGGCATCATAATGTCAATCAAATCCAAGATAAAGGAATTCTGTTAGTCTCTACCATGTCTATGTTACTCTACAACCCTAAGGGGTCATTGCTTCTAATGGACAGGTTTGGGGATGAATGTGTGTCTCCTGGAAGAAGCACAATTCAGATATTCTACCTAGTATGTACTCACATATCTTGCTACCACTTCAAACTCCATGTACCTAAAACTGAGCATCTCATCATTCACCTCAAACTGGATTTTTTTGATTGTATTGTTTCTGACAATTGATCCTGATTTTAAACCTGTATGATTTTCCCTCCTGCTACTATACGTGAAGTGTCATCAAGATTTCAAAACCATTTTTAAGCAACCACAAGACTATTTTTGCTGTCTTCTGGATAGCAATAGATTCTAGGCTAACTGTTTTATAAAACAATATTTCTAGATCAGTTAAATAGTATCTACCTAGTTGGCTCCTAGTTGTTGCAGCAGCTCAGACCTCTGAGCTTTCCCTCCAATCTTGCACCCAGGCATGCTGCAACTACTATTTCCTCTCATCACAAGGTCTTTTTGCATTTTCCTTTCCATTGGTCTAACTACCATGCCACACACCTCTCATTGGCAGGTTAAATAACCTCTTGGGCTACTCTTTTATTCCTGAAATGTTCTATTTAGTGATTCCCAAATTGTGGTGGAACATTCTCCACCCAAAATATAGTGTTTATTGCTTTCTCTCTTGATTTCAAAGTTTATTTCTAGATACTGTTATCTAGTTATTTTTTATGTGTACCATTTGTCTTCCCAGCTAAATGCTAACTTTCTGAACATAGAGCAATACTTTTTGAAAATCAAATTATATTTTTACTGTACACCAGACTCTGCTGGAGAATATCAGAGCTGTCTTACAGTAAATGCCAAATATATGCTAAGTAACTTGACTTAATACAATAGCTGGCATCTCTGCATTTTTAAAAATAACTGCATGAAAATCTATGACAGTCTCAAAATAAAGATAATTTAAACATTAGAAATAAAGACACAGGCTCAAAATACTGACACTACTATCTCCTCTTCTCCATTCACAAATTCCTATAAAGATTTTTTTGTTACAATATCATGGACACTTGCTCAATTAGAAGAAACCCTGTTAATATGTTCCCAACCAGATGGATTAGGCTTTATAAATCTGGGAGAATTGGTTTGTGTTTCCTTTCTCTGGGAAGTGAGAGAGATGGGACATGGAGGGTAGAGGATGTACCTTGAAGACAGGGTGCAGTCCTGGGAGGCACCTCATGGTGGCCACAGCAAAGACCTCAGCCAGTAAGTGAGTGTTCAGCAAATGATATTGGAGCTCATGTAGATGGAAATCTGAACTTCGGACCCAGGTCTTTGCCAGGAGCCAGGCAAGTGGAGGATCTGAGGGCAGGAACAGCGGTGGGGTGGGGCAGCTGGGGCTGGGAGACTGGATCTGCAATCAAGATAAATTAAGCATCCATTAACCTTATCAAATGTTATACAATATGCTTAGTATTCTGGGGGAAATACTGGTCACTAAGATTGTTTTCTACCAGAGGGTTATAATCTAGTAGAAGGAATGAGGACCCTTCCACTCATCCTTTCACTAGCTGTGGGGAAGTGTGAGTGCCTTACTGGCCAGTTTCAAAGCCAGAGGAATTGGAAAGAGGTGTCCAGTATGACTGAGAGAAACCTGATGAGAGGTGGAAGTTAGGATGGTAGAATGGGAGAGACCATGTGGGATGAGTTGATATAGAGGACAAGTCTCATCTATTTATAGTGGAGACTCAGGAGGTCAGAAAGAGAATGGGAACCTTGCCGTGAGAACCAATTCAGTTGCGTATGAAGTCGCATGCCCCGATAGTGGGTGATGATTGAGGAGATTTGGAGGTGGACACTATGAAACGGGCAGATGCCATCAGGACAATATTGACTATGAGCTAACCGTTAGAATGTGACAGAAATACGAGCATAGC